CAAAAGATTACATTGAGTGCTATTTTAATTAAGAATAACTGATATGTTATTCACCATAAACCCAGAAGCGGCTGCAGAATTTAGTGAAGACAAAATTTTTGAAATTTTGTGAAGCACCGAGTGGCCAAATTAAGGGATGAGAAGTTTTTATGATTTAGGGAAAGCAGTGGGATCCAAAGTTTAGGAACAGTGAAAATTTAGAACTTAGGAAAGCGCTTTGTAGCAGAATTTAGGACCCGTAGAAACGGCGGTATCGAGCGCCGGCCAATAGATAAAGCGTTAAGTATATGTGGGAGTTTCTTTATTCAGGATTCGGATTAGTTTAAAGTATGTGCAAGAAATAAACGTAGGTATAGTAGACAACTAATACAATTCAGGATTAATTCAGTACGCAATAGGAGGTAGACAAAATTTAGCAAAACAACTTGGCTTCCGTTGCCAATCTTGTGATAGAAAACCAATAATGTATACCGGACGCTATTAAGCTACGCTAAAATTATCTTTACTGATTCTAAGGCATTTCAATTAATGTAGCAGACTGCGCTGCTCCCTGATCTTCTAATTTGATCCAACTTATTATTTTTTGCAGACTGTTATTATTACGCCAATTTTATAAAAACTAAGCTTGAACTTTCGATTATGTCTAAAAGTTTCCAATTCTGTTGTTGCCAAAGGATCTACAAAGCGAAACCATGTTTCGATGTCCATTAAACAAAAAGTGGAATTGCTGCAAAAAATGGATAAAGGCATATCCGTCTCAAAATTATGCAAGGAGTATGGCATTGGAAAGTCCACTGTTTATGACAAAAAAGGGGGGGGACTTTTTGTAGAAGCATCTTAAACATCTTACATTGAAAGAAATGTTTAATAAAGTAAAAATAAATATTAAGCTTTTTTTTTTGTAAATTTTGATACCCTTTAAATCATAATTGTTCTTTATTTCATAAATTACAATTACATATTTATAATTGTATAACTTTTGCATGCCATCTTACCAGATTTAAATTGATGATCTATTATCCGGAAAAATCCCAAACCCTAAATCGCCAAAGTCTCGACCAGTCCGGATTTCAGACTTTGTACTGTATTATTATATATTGCTCGTATATAGCAGTTCTCAGGAAATATTAAAAAAAAAAAAAAAAAAAAATTCCCCACCAAAAAATGTTTCACCTTTTTTTTTTTTTTTTTTTTTTTAAAAAAAATAAACGTATGGTTTTTTTCAATGATGCAAGTCACTGCATGTACTTTAACATGGGATTTAAAAAACATTTCCTTGAGCTCTAGAATTAGTTTCACATGTATGCCATAGAAAATTGGATGAAATTTGAAAGTATCATTAACTAGCAATAAATAAACTTAGAAGGAAGAAGCCACATCAAATGATATGAATAACATTAAAATAAAGTTATTAGACTTGTAGAGACATTAGGTTAATTGGAAAAGCTGGAGAAATGAAAAATTAGCAACGTCTTCACCGGGAATCGGACCGCGGACCTCTCAATTACATACTGAGTGTGCAGGCAACTACACCACAAAGGCGGAAGAAATATGTTATATATTCCCCCTTTTAAAGGGTGACTGGAGTTTTAGGGGACTCAATCGCCAAATTCTGGCTCTCTAACTAAGCTCTCTAAACCAAGGGGCAGAATTTCTTTTATTCAACATGCACAGATTTCTTCTTCATGTATGGTCTCTGGAGGTTACAGAAAACCAAAGATGCTGGAAGCTTGTTTTGCCCTTCGAAAGACAATCTGATTGGCGCTGTGAAAACTAGCTCTATGCCAGTTGCTGGAATGATGCTCACGCAATACATAATTTGCCAAGAACGCAATATGCTTCCAACATTGTGATAAAAATCACTTGGAGGGGGGATCACCGCAAGAAATTCCTTGACTTTTCCAGATAGCGTGGCAACCCTGATGTTACATCATAAAATAGTCGCATGTATTCCCGTGTCTACAACTATTACAGGATCTATTATCGAATCTCCTTCAACACATAAACTGTGGCTTCCACTGTGAACGGATGTTATCTATAAAGGACAGACAGCTGACTTTTTCTGCTTCTCTATATAGTTTTACTTACTCCTTTAAACATAGAAGAGTCTCTGTAATGTTCTTCACTGCTGCAGCTTTAGCACTTATATTTATTATTTACGGTTTCTTTAAATGTGCTATTTTCTTCATCAGCTCAATCACCACTCTCAGCATCGTATCTTCTGCTGGCTCTGTCTGCTATCTCCACTTTCATGACCCAGATAAAAGCATTCTTCAGATTTTCTTTGTCTGCTATTTGAATTCCTATTGCATTACATGATTTCTGAGAGCACAAAATACTAGAGACTTTGTGTTTTTAATTTCTTCGCTGCAATCTACAAATGTCAGCTATGCTAATTTTTTTTATGTTTATCACCAGTTCTTGAAAAACCTCTCTCGCCTTTCATTACCGTGTCTTAAACTGCAGCATCCTTGAAAAATGTTTCTCCACACCACGAACTAAGGCATTAGCATCTAGATGTTTTTCAGCTGGAATTATCTGCATGATGTTTGCAGCCTTATCTCATAAACAGGCAACCAGGTTTAATGCTTTGATGATGAAGTCCCACTAATTTTACCAAAATCATTTCTAACTATATTTTGCACATTTCACAACTTCCTGTCATATACCAAGAGCTCAACTGCAAGATGAAGTAACTTAACTGGAACGTTGCTCAAAGCAGGATCAGCCAGAATGTTCAATCATTCAGCCTGAATTTTTTTATAGTCAAGTTGGAACATTGTTTACGAGTGAAGCCAATTCTAGAAAATTCTTTTTTAGTCTTATAATTTCCATCTCGAGTCTCAATTCACAGCAGAATTTCTTTTGCGACGCTTGCTATTTTTCCATCGAGAGGATTTTACATTTTAAACTTTTTTGCTTACAATCTCTAACATTTCCGATTTTACCATCTCTTTTTCAAGTTTTTCTTTTGCGGGGGCTAATTTTTCATTCATAATTTTGCCATTCACATGGCAACACCTTCCTGCATTTTTGTATTTTTTCTTCACTTTGGCAGCAGTTGCTTCCTTTCTTCATTTCAGTGGCTTCTTCCCTAGTGGCAGCAATGATTTTCATAATACCTGTCAGCTTTCTACCATCCTCCTAGTTATTGGCATTTAGAAAAATCTCACTTCGGACCCCAACTGTTATGAATTCCTGAGTTATGGATTCATTAATATGTCTTTAAATAATAAGTTCACTTAAGCAAGAGGATGTCATAAATTTATTTTGAAAACTGCTGACACAGGTCACAGAAATAAATCAAGGTAAGCATGGATGTTAAACAATTCATCCTTAGTGCAGGAGAAATATTCTCAACTATCGAAATCACTTACAGAGTAGACTCAAACTTTCAATTCAGCTAACCGCTAAATCTCAAAGTTAGTTAAGAACTGACTGTTAAGCTCTTGAACTCCCATTTAGCATGGCTCTGGAAGAATCAGTCACAAAGCTTCAAAAATGTGTTTTCCTAAATCTTCCAGAAAATCATCAGATATCACCAACAATTTCTGCCAAGGCCCTTCATTAATGAATTTGTTCATATCTCATATTCTACTTGAGTTATTTTTACAATTCAAAAGTTATTGCACTTGAGTTATTTTATTGCACTCAGAATTGAAAGATCTACAATTCTATATAAGAAATATACATTAAGTTTAAGACATATAGCCACAAATTTGATTATATACAAAATAAATTCTAAAATTGTCATCGTTAAAGCAACAAATAAATAACAAAGCAAAATAATACACAACACCTACTATGATACAGAAAAAAAAAGACACAATCAAAAAAGCATTCAAATATTTACAATATTTTTTATATCTGAATGAAATAGTCTTTGGAAAATATTTGTTTACTATTTCCGCAAATCTTCGTTCAAAATTTCAGCAATTTTCAGTATCTCTTAAATTTTACAGACAAAAATTTTCTAAAATTGGTTGGCAGAATTTTGAGAATATTTTTTGCTGACTGTACTTTGGTTGAAAAACAAAAAATCCCATTGTACCAACTGACTTAACTATATATTTAATTACATTAATCAAGATCTGTATTTAAACTACAAATTAATAATGCCACAATTACGTCAATCTGGAAGTATAAGAAGTGAAGTGTTTATTTAATTAGTTTAACATATTAAGGATTCTCTGTACATCAGGAAATCATTCTATACAAACTATTGGCTGATATTACACATGTAGTTTGACCCATTCTTCTAGAAACCATCGCCCAGACGAAATCTCTTCTATTAGACAATTCTAACTACTCACATTAGTGTACTTGTTCAAGGTGGTGTTGGTGTATTTAATTATGGCAAAGCACACGAGGGCTATCTGCCTAAAGGGAGGGGTGCCTTTCGTGGAGGACTTTCTAAGGGAAACTGGCTCGTATACACGTTACACATGGGGAAAACCACGAAAACGCCCATGCAGCCAGCCCGTTCGCGGGATTCGAACCTCAGACCGAACTACCAGTGTTCAGCGTCTTTACCGCTCGGCCGCTGGTGGGCCTCTACTTGTTCAAGGAAAAAGGATATCTGCAGATTGCAGGAATGATATCACTTTCATGTATTCTTAATTTAAACATGTTTCATAAATCACTCAACAAGAAATTAATACAAGTAATGGAGGGGGAAAAGGAATATCCCCCCTAAAGGTGGGGTTTGTAACAGTTTAAAATTTTAAGTTATATTTCTAACATGCATATTTTAGTGATAATTTTTATCAGGAGATATACATGAAATTCATGTAAATGAAACATACTTTTTCTATTACATACAAAAACCATGAATAATATGAAAGAAATAAAAACTGACAGAATTTAATGTATAATGTTTATTAATGTACAATGCAATACAAAATGCCTACACAATACAAACTGACTAAGTACAAAATTCAAATATTGCACAAATGTCATTAAATAAAAACATTTACAAAATATAGTTTATCTGCAGTTTCAAAAGTATAAACCAATACTAAATATCTATTTTCCTGTCTATTTCTACATATATATTACAGAATAAATAAGATCTAACAAATATTTCATCATAAATATTATACATAAGTTACTTTTTTCAACAAAACAAAATGATCATAACTGGGTTACTCGATCAAATGAAGATTAACCAATAAATTTTTATTTATATAACTTGTTCACTTCATGAGAATTCAATTCATTTAACAAATCTGATTTAATCCAAACGATTGAAATGCTGAATTATTTTATTCAATGAGAAATTGACTTTTCAGTAATTTAATTTTCTACTTCCAAATTCAAGTTCCTACGTTTAAACTTTAATATAATTTTCAATCATTGGATCTTTTCATAGAAAAGCATATAAGCACAAGATTGAGATACTTCTGAAAATGAAACCTCTTTGACATCTGTATCTGATACACGAAACCATCTGCTCAGATTTTGGTTATCAGAAGAACAACGCCTGAAGGTGATAAAATGGCCAGATGATGTATCACCAAGATGAACAATCACAGCTTGTAATAAATAGACATAGTTGTATGAACAAAAACTGGAAAGGGAAAAAAAAACTATTTTTATTACATTCTTAAAATTTAAATATAATATATATTTTTAACACTTTAAATTTACCCTGCATCAAAAGAAAGCACTCTTTCTCTTTATATATACAGTACAAAGTCTGAGACCTCGACCAGTCCAATATCCAGACCTCGAAGACACAAACTTTTTTTCCTTTGGAAATTCTTTTTGTATGCTTTACACATGTGCATATGGCGAATCATTATTTATTATATTTTGCTTTCATCACCACATGCATTTATTATATTTTGCTTTCATTACCACATGCATGTCATGCAACACATGACAACTTAAATAATGACTCATGCACAGATGCCTAATTTTTTTTTATATTAGTAACTGAATAATAAAGAGTATGATAACCTTTTCTGTTGACACTATGCTTGGTGATAATTACAGATTTTAGTTAAATACGCTAATAAATGTTAATGAGGAAAAATTTAATTAAAATTTCTTTTGATATGTTAAAAATAGATTTTGTTAATGATACTCATTGGCCAAAAGATTACATTTAGGGCTATTTGAATTAAGAATGACTGATTTGTTATTCATATAAACCCAGAACTGGAGCCAGAGGTCGTATAGCTGCAACGGGTGGCAGAATTTAGAGAAGACAACATTTTGGGAAGTTAGAGAAGCACCGAGCTACAAAATTAAGGAATGACAAAATGTTTAGAATTTAGGGAGGCACTTGGTAGCAGAATTAAGGACCCACAAAGACTGCATCAGGTGGTAAGATTTCTGCATGCCATCTTACCAGATTTAAACTGATGATCTATAATCCGGAATCGCCGAAGTCCTGACAAGTCCGGATTAACGACTTTTGACTGTATATATGGGAATTTATTTATTCAGGACTCAGATAGGCTTTAAGAATGTGCAAGAAATAGGCATAAGTATAAGAAATAACTAATATAATTCAGGCTTAATTGTCTCAGTGCACAATAGTCGCAAGACAAAATTCAGTGAAACAACTTGTCTTTCATCGCCAATCTCGTGAATAATGTATAGCGAATGCTATTAAGCTAGGCTAAAGTTAGTTTTTACCGATTCCAAGATATTTCAGTTAATATAGCAGATTGTGCTGTTCTTTAACTTTCTGACTTGATCCAGCTCTTTTTTTTTGGCATGTTTTTATTATTGCAGCAATTTTATGAAAATTAAAGTTTGAAATCTCGATTATGTCAAAAAAGAGTTTCTGATTCTGGAGTTGCCAAAAGGATCTACAAATCGAAAGCATGTTTCAATGTCCATTAAACAAAGAGTGGGATTATCACAAAAAATGGATAAAGATATATCCATCTCAAAATTATGTGAGGAGTATGGCACTGGTCATACTCCTCAGCTGCATATGATATAAGAAAACAGAAAACATATATACACAAGAATATAAGAAAACAGAAAATACATATACATAAGAAATCAGAAAATATGTAAGCCAATTAATTCTGTATAATATAAGAAAACAGAAAAAAGAAATTGTTGGATTTATTTATTTATTATTTATTTATTTTTTTGGAATTCCAACAATCCACTCACAATGAATAGCAGAAAAATTATTCATTATGCTATAAGTGACACAATCATGAAAAAGTGATGTTTGAATGGGTCAGACAGCGTCACAGTGAGGCTGTGCTATTGGCAGATCCAATGCTAATGGCTCAAGCCAAAATATTTTGAAGAAATGAACTTAAAAATTAAGTGCACATAATTGACAGATTGGTTAACCAAATTAAAAAATCACCATGGTAAAAGGCAATTAAAAATTTCAGGTGAAAAAGCGTCAGCTGATACTCAAGCTGCTGAACTATTTGCAGATGAATTCATTGAACTCATTAAGAGTGAAAAGTTATCTCCAGAACAAATTTACAATGCTAATGAAACTTGTCATTCCTGCCAGTATGTACCATGAAATACCTCTGCAACTTCTACAGAAAAGGATCCAACTGGTGTCAAAGATTCCAAAGTGAGGCTAATAATTTTAGCATGTGCAAACGTTACAGGAAGGCACAAGTGTAAACTTTTTGTAATCGGAAAAATTATATGACCTCGAGCAGTTAGGGGGAGGAGTAAAGATTTTGAAGTATGAAGCAAACACTTTTCTACAATCAGGACAATTTTTGCATCATCAGGTAAACCAACCGAATTCAAATGTTGCCAAGCCTCGAGTATGAAATGATTTTCAAATTAATCATTCATTAATGCTTATGTCATTCATGCAATTTAATTTGCATGATATATAATTGGGAAAATCTTTACTCCTTTAAATGCTAGAGATCGTGTATTTTTTCTGATTACAAAAAAGATGACACTTGTGCATGCTAAAATTATTATTCTCACTTTAGAATCTTTGACACCAGTTGGACACTTTTCTGTAGAGGTTGTCAAGGTATTTCACAGCATGTAGCCAGAAAAGACCAGTTTCATCAATGTTTTAAATTTATGGCAGAGATAACTTTTCATTACTATGAGTTCAATGAATTCATCTTCAAATAGTTCAGCAGCTTCAGCATTAGCTGAAGCTTTTTCACCTGAAATTTTTTATTTCCTTATACCATGGCGATTTTTAAATTTGTTAACCAATTTGTCAAATATGTGCACTCAGTTTTTAAGTTCATTTTTGCATAAAATATTTTGGCTTGAACCATTAACATTGGACCTGTCAATGGCACGCCCTTGCTGGGATGTTGTCTGACCCATTCAATCACCTCTTTTAGCATAACGAATAATTTTTGTTGTTCATTGTGAGTGGGGTGTCAGAATCCACAAAAAATTTTAAAAAGTTCCTTTTTCTGTTTTTTATGTTGTGTACTGTTGTCTTTCCAATGTCATACTCCTTGCAGAATTTTGAGATAGATATACTTTATCCATTTTTTTTCCAGCTTCCACTTTTTGTTTAATGGGCATCAAAACATGCTTTCACTTTGTAGATCCTGTTGCAGTTCGAAAATTAGAAACTCTTTTCAAAGGTTCTAATCGAAAGTTCAAACTTGAAAAATAAGAATACTTTTGAAAAATAATTTTTATAAAATTGCTGTAAAAGGGTTCGTACACATTTCTGCACATGGAAATTAAGTACTTTTAAGAATCATTAATGAAAAAAATTAAGGACCTTTGAACAAATGAGAACTGAATAAATTCAATTAAAAATATTATTCTATGCCTGAATTTTTACTTTTGTAATACTATTTTAAAAATAAAATAGATCCCTAAGTAATATACATTATTACTAAACATGAATTAATTAACATAATTATTAATAAGCTTGAGAATAAAATAAACTTTATGCAATTTATCAAGTAGCATTAAATATTTTACACTTATAATATTTGAAAGAAGATAAGTGAAATTTACATTTTACTAATAGTTAGCTTTATGTTGAATTTTTTATGTTTCATTCTGTCACATACTTGGTCAGTCTAAAGGTTTAGTACATAGCAGGTAGATTTTATGTCAAATGGCATAGGTTAAAATGAGAAGTATGATCATAATTAGCATGATTCATAACAAAAGACTGAATGCTGTCACCGCTACTGCTTGTCTAAACAGAGACCTGCTGATTAGAACAAACTTGAAAAGCCTGATAGGCATGGTTGGCAAGTATTGAAAGTTACTCAGGATCTGTTTAATGCAGTTAGTGTCATAGCTTTGTGCAGAGTTCCAGGGGTTGTAACCCAGTTAATATACTTTAAGGTTCCAATAAGAAATTAAAGCACCAGAGGTGATAAGTTGTTTTGCATCATTTTAAGTCTCACTAGATTCAAAGAAAAGGTTTTACTTGAATTTTTACATTTTTATGTTTTATCTTGTGACTATTAATGAAAGGCAATAACTCACTTTAATATGTAGAGATAATTTTTAAGGGTAATCAGTTAGCTATAAATTATTAAATTAGGTAACCTTAGTCACTATGGATTTATGTGGCCACTATTAAATTTTATTTTTTAACAATATTTGTTAAAAAGCTCTATTAGAACCAAAATCTAATAAAATTTTACAGTTTAAAATACATGTAATTTATGACATTGATTCTTAAACGATATTAGGACAATTACACATTAAAAGCTACAAAACATTTATGTTTTGTAACAAGAACACAACAAAATATGTATCCGTGATTTTAATTTAAAGCCTTCCCAAACATTTTGGCTAGTTTATATCGATTTCTTTCTCTTTAAGCATCTTTTCTAACAATTAGACATTTGTCTCAATATGCAAACCAATGCTTTTGCTAATTCCTGCGTGCTTTATTCCCTAACTTGTCAAGCTTTCCACAATGCACCTATGAGGATTTACTTGATCTGGTAAAAGTTAAATAGTCCCAAACCCCTGACTGACATGGAGCAAATTATTGCTATGTCTGAAAGTAACTACAATATCAGACAAAGTTTTAAATAAGCCTCTTATTTAAAAAGAAACTTAGAACATAAAGGCATGTTCTGATGTTAACAAAATCAATTACAGCTCATGGTGACGTAATTAAACAAGAATAGTCAAATTCAAATTAAAAATGTGGACTAGTGGTAAAAGATAAAATTTAATTTTAATTTAATTTGGCTCAGTAACTATCATATGAGGAAATAGAAAATCATAGTAAAGGCTAAAATGGGTAATTTACATAATAATAACTACACATATCTTTGAAAAATAATTTTCTTCATTCTTTCTTCAACATGTTTCCTTTTCATTTTAGAATTTTGGGATTTAATTAAGGATTTTCTGTTATTCTAAAAAACACTAAATGCATTTAGAATGTATAAAAATGTCATCTTATTTCTTTAATAATATGAACATTCAGAAGAAATATGAAATATATATGATAAAGGATGGTTCCAGACCTGGTGTGGCAGAATTTTTAGAATTTAGAGCAGGCATTGGAAGCAGAATTTAGAATCCATAGAGACTGCATTAAAAGGGAAAATGCCTAGTGCCAGCTCTATGTATGATGCATTACGACATATTAGATGAATA